AAACCACTCACAGTATATCAGGCTGACGTTGGGCTGTGGCTTCCTGGTCATGTTTGCAAGTCAGCCTTAGGAGGCCAGGCCTGCAGAGGGCTCTCGCATGCTGACAGCCTCGCCTTTATTTGTGTGATTTAAAGTAGGAGTGATCTAGCCAATGAGAAAGCATGATGCCTTCATTCCTTCCCTGCAAGCTGGTGGGAGCAGGCTGCTGGGTCAGCCAGACTGCACGCTGAGCTCAGGGACACCTGCGAGCGTAGGCTCTGGTGGAGGGAGAGAGAGGGCCTGAGGGACCTGGGGTATTGAGTCCGCCCAGAGTCCCATAGGAGCAGTGGAGGGACCAAGGTTAGTGATGCTGGGTCGGCCTTGGGCTCCTGCCCGAGGGGTCCCTGGCCCACATTGCTCCAGGGTGGACACCTGGTGGGTCCCTGCTGCCAGCCTTTGATGAGACCTGAGATGGAACTTACACCCATGTTCACCGACCAGAGGGCATTCCTGGGGTAAAGAATCTGTCATAATGGAAATGTCTTTCCCTCTTAATGCAAATTTAAGTATTTATTTAATCATTACGATGTTTCTTTCCCCAAAGAGAGAGGACGGGAAGACAGACTAGAGACGTCCTTGCATCTGATGAGCAGTAACACAGCTCAGTCAGCAGACAGAACTGTTTGCACCTCTGCTGCCCTGTTTGAGGGCCACGGTTTTCCCAGTGGAGAAGACAGTCCTGGGGCTGGGATATATGCTAAGGAACAGCAGGAGAACTAGAGGGCCAGCTGGCTGGGTCCCATCTTTGTGCTCTCTATGATCACGTATTTTAATACACAAATTCTCTTCTGGTGTTAGGGGACACATATTCTGACTTCCCTGGAGGGGTGCGCAGGCGGTTCTTGTGAGATCCAGAGGGAGTGATCCTTTGGTGGAAAATAATAAAGAGAAGGTCAGGCCAGCAAGAGTTCTGGGGAGCTCTCTGCACCTGTTAGATCCCAAGCAACAGAAACTTAGTAGTTCCTGCAGGACAAGGGCTTCTGCCATGAATCCCAAAGGCCACGAGTTCCTGAGTGCTCTGATTTTACCCATTTAGCATCTACCTGAATTCTGCATGTTACCCCTAACGTAAAGCGCCATTCACAACATTTTTTAAATGCATTTATTTATTTATTTTTATATCAAAGTCTTCACTTCCCAAATGCCCACAATAGCCAGGCAGGGCCAGGCTGAAGCCAGGAGCCAGGAACTCAATCCAGGTCTTCCAGGTGGGTGGCAGGGACCCACGTACTTGAGCCATCACCTCTGCCTCCCAGGGTGTGCACTGGCATGAAGCCGGATCAGAGCAGGAGCCAGGACTCACACCCACGCACTCTAACGTGGGATGTGGCCATCCAAGGCAGAGTCTCAGCCACCTTTTATTATCATTTTCCGTTGTCGTTCTTAAGTACGCAAGACAATTTTTCCAGCCAGATGTAATATATCCAAAAATTGTGTTCTCTTAATTTGCTCAGTCTTAAGGCTGACACGAGCCCAGATAACACAAGACTATTTTACTTGAACGTGTCTGTTAGGTCGCAAGCATTGATTTTGAGAGTATTTGTAGCTTCCTTTTTCAAAGGGTTTTTACTAATAATACCTTTGGAGTAGGAAAGAAAAAAAATAAAGCCAAGTGTTTTATTTCATGCCCTGCACATCTGTAACCATAGGAACCAGCCAAGCCCTGATGCTCTTGTTTCCAGGCCATGACAGGAGGGGCCTCCTTCAGCCCCAGGCTGCCCTGCAGCAACTGAGTGCAGTGCCTGGAAGCCCGGCCTGCCCTGAGGGCATGGAGGGGTCGTTTCCATGGAAACCAGCCACTTGAGTCCCAGCTGTGCAGCCGGTGCTGCCTAGGCCATGCTGCCTCTGATTCCTCCACCCAGGCGTCCCTTCACAGAAAAGCAGTCCTCTGAGAGGGGCAGATGCAAGTGGGATTTCTCTAAGTCAGTTTCACACCATTCCCAGGATCAGGCGTCCTGGGGCCGGCACTGTCTGAGGAACAGAGGCCCTTTGTGAGATGAGTTAGCACTGCCGTGTTCACTGGCTTCCAAAAATTCTATTTTTGGAATGTTGAGATTTCTTAAAGCCACAAGATTTGTATGCAAATCTAAGAGTTTTTTTTTTAAAAAAACCTAAAAGCCTTGAACAGTCACAAAAATGAATGTGCAGAGCAGCGGGAAGCAAGAAGTACCGACACCTCCCTGAGCTGCCTTCCGTAGCCTCGGGCACCTCCCGCAGGCAGCAGCTGGCCCTGTGGGCCACAGTTCCTCTTCTGAGCTCGCCTGTGTCCCAGGCCTGGCAGTGAGAAACAAGACCATGTGCTGGACTGCTTGAGCCAGGCCCTTCCCAGGCTGATCTTGTTCCCGCCTCCCTCCGCGCAGGGGCCTTGGTCTCAGTGACTTGAGCCCACCACGTCCTCAGGACAGAAGATGTCAGAAGTAGGGGCTGCCTGGCCCTCTGGAAACCCTGAAAAGAAGAACAAAGCAAACCTTTCATAGAGGAAAGGCCTTTCTCCCTTGATTCTTTTTTCCTTTCCCAAAACAGTGAAAATGAATGAAATAAGAACTTTCTTAGTTTTCATGGCAGAAAGGGCCGCTGGAACACCTACTTTCTTATCAGATAATGGATTACACGTGCATGAAAACTAACTAAACACTGAAAGCCTGCTGCCAAACTCTTTTATGGGTACTAAAGTCTGGTCTTCATTCTGTTCTTTTGGTTATAATGTTCCACTTTATATTTGAGCAGAATATAACAATTTCCTTCCCTACCACAAAAAAGAGGCACAATGTTTACTCACAGTAGAGTGGATGCATCTTAAACGAGCCCACACCACATAGTGAGACAGGAAGAGCTTAAGAACCTATTGTTTTCCTCAGCGAAAAGTAAGGCCAGGTGTATGCGATTGGCGGGTAGGAGCAGTGATTCTGTTTTCAAAACTCAGCTTGCAGGAAGATCAGCCTCTCACAGGACGCCTTTTGTGCTTTCAAAGATTCTCCTCCAGGGGCGTCCCAGGGCAGGGTCCACGTGACCACATGACGGGCTAGCTGGTCAGGCCATTGTGTTAATGCTTGAAAACACTGGCGTGGCAGCTGGCTGACCTGTCCTGCGGTCAACCTCAAAGGCCGAGAAGCCGCTGTGACTTTAAGGAAGAGTCGGGTCACGGGCAGATTTGCGGGGGTAGCCCTGGGAGCAGAGCTTGGCTCTGCTCAACCGTGGGACCAAGAACTGCAGTCCATCCGCTCAGCCGCCCACGCACTCTGCACAGACTGCGGTTTACACTCGCCCTTCAGCAGTAGAAACGTCTGCTTCTGTACCCTACGATGTGGAATTACGTCCCCTTTCCTGGGACTAAGGGGAACTAGAGAATTCCTGAATACTGAAATTGTTTACACATCCAGGAGTCAGAATGTGACATGCAGGTGCTCGGAACCAAACCAGTCCGTGCACTGTATCCCTTCCACCCGATCCCGAGAACGCCCATATGCAAGCAGGTGCTGGCTGGCCTGGTCTCAGCTCCCAGCATCTGAGTGCAATCTGAGTGCAAAGCAAATTCAAATCTGTAGGAGGCAGATGCATTCACTGAGCATTTAAAATTGTTGATTTCTGTCCTTGAAAATTCAGGCATTCCCTGACCAGGGCTGCAGCACCCAGCAGGGCCCAGCAGTCCCTGACCAGGGGTACAGCACCCAGCAGGACCCAGCACTCCCTGACCAGGGCTGCAGCACCCAGCAGGGCCCAGCAGTCCCTGACCAGGGGTACAGCACCCAGCAGGACCCAGCACTCCCTGACCGGGGGTACAGCACCCAGCAGGGCCCAGCACTCCCTGACCAGGGCTACAGCACCCAGCAGGACCCAGCACTCCCTGACCAGGGGTACAGCACCCAGCAGGACCCAGCACTCCCTGACCAGGGCCATAGCACAGAGCAGGACCCAGCACTCCCTGACCAGGGCTGCAGCACCCAGCAGGGCCCAGCACTCCCTGACCAGGGCCGTAGCACAGAGCAGGGCCCAGCACTGCCTGACCAGGGCTGCAGCACCCAGCAGGGGCCAGCACTCCCTGACCAGGGCTGCAGCACCCAGCAGGGGCCAGCACTCCCTGACCAAGGCCATAGCACAGAGCAGGACCCTGCCCCTTGAGGGGAAGATTCTCAGTCATTTTATCCTTGTTATCTTGTGTTCTTGTTATCTACAAGTTTAGTGGAAAGAGGATTCTTCACTCCTGTCATGAATGATTGCATCCGTGATGGGAACAGATGCAGCTGAGGGAGCTGGGAGTGCAGGTGTTCGGTGGCCCTGGTTGTTATCAAGGTGTTGTGTGTAAGACGCTGCATGGAGGCCGTCACCACAGGGCTCCTCCAAAGCACTCTGTCCCCTCAGAGTGATGGCAGTGCCACGCGTAGCACTGTGGGCGTGAGCAGTGGGGGTGGCCGTGGATTGCTCTGGGTGTCTCCACTGGCAGGCCCCCCTTGTGTTGTAGCCACATCAATCCAGGCAAGCCTGCCGGGGTCCATGACGTCAGTGTGGGTACAGGCTGGGGTCAGCCAGGCTAGCCTCGGAGGCTGGTGTCGCAGCACAGGTGCTGGCTGTAGCTGAGCCCACGTGTGTGTCTCCTCACACGGCAGCCTGGCTTCTGTGTGTGCATTGGTGTGAACAGTACTTGCCCCCCTGGGTCCCGCTGGGCTTACTGTGAGCATTAAGGAGAGGGCAGCCTAGTGCCCTGGGATGGTCTCTGTCCCACTGTTGAATCCACAGTGGTCACCAAACCCACAACCCTCCTGGAGAAAATCCCTGTGCCAGGGAGGGCAGAGGTGGCCGACGGCGCGGGTCAGTGGACTGGGGAGCTTCCAGCTCACTTTAGCCTCCTCCACAAAGCGGGGGGAAGCAACAGAGAGTCTGCTTTCTTGATAAATAAGACAGTCATTGCTTGGGGGATTTTGTTTCTTTCAAGTAAATTCCCCGACTTGTGTTTGTCATCGTAGGTGCCCCACCCCTGGCTGTGACGGTTCTGGACACATCACCGGCAACTACGCTTCTCACCGGAGGTAGGCAGAGCGCAGGGAGGGTCCCAGGCTGGCTCCCCTGGACAAGGCAGGGCGGGGACTGCCATGGCTGTGAAGCAGCGTTGGCCTGGGGCCTCCCTTGGAAGGAAATGTCCTCGCCAGTGCCATGGCTCCTCTCGTGGTACCTCACTGTGGTTCAGGTGGCCACTGAGAAAGATGGCGGCAGTCACTCCAGGAGAGAAATCCCCCCAGCATTTTATGCAAGTGAGAGGCCAGCATCCTGACCCCACTGAGAGTGGATCCCTTAACCAGGAACACTGGACCCCGGAGTGGTGCAGTTAGTGGAAGCAGGGAGCAGCAGAGCCAGGTGCTGCTGAAGTACTTGCGTCACGGGTGCTGGGCCTCGTGGTCTCCAGAGAGAGGGCAGTGCCTCAGCCACAGGCTGCAGCCTTAGTCACGTGACAGGACAGATGTCCACACTGCATGCAGCAAAGGTTGTGTACATGTCTGCTTCACGCCAGGCCCTGTGAGCACAGAAAGAAACTTTGGGTACTTTAAAAAAAAAAAGTGCCTGGAACACTTGCTGAAGATGATAAGCAGAGTGCACACAGGGGGCTGTGGCGATGGTACACTCCACAGCCAGGGGTTGTGCAGTGGGGAGAGGTGTGGGAGAGGGTCAGGGACATCAAGGACCAAGCATCTGACTAAACTCACCTGAGAGGGTGGACCAGGGACGTGCACAGGGAAGTCCCTACAAGGGGAACCGCCCTGTGCTTTCCTCTGCTCTCCACGTCCCGGAGTAGGAAGCAACAGCACAACAAAAGGGAAGGGTGGGGTGGGGGCAGGAGCAGCAACAGCACCCAGCACCCAGCACCCAGCACCCAGCAGGGAGCAGAGAGCGGGGGTGTTGGCCCCGCTGCGAGTGACCAGAGCCCCGTGCGGAGTTGGGGTGCTCACCTGGCTGGCAGGCACTGAGCGGACTGGAGACAGACTCCCAAGGGGACTGTGTTGCCCTTACTCCACGGCGAGTTACTTGTTCCCCAGGCTACTGGGAGGCTCAGTTTGCACAGTGCTTGTCTGGGAAAAGCGGGGACATGTGCACCCCCCAGAGGAGGGAGACCTGCAACTGTCGGGATGAGGCTTCCCCCACAGGAGGGCGTCTCCTCCAGGCCGGCCGAGCAGCCTGGGCTCGCGCACTGTCCTGCGCCCACAGGTTACCGGCAGCGTCCTTGACCACAGTTCCCAATGCCCAGAGTGTCTCCAGACACTGCCTCCGTCCCCAGGCCGTACCCAGAGCAGGCCAGAAGAGACCTTGCAAGGCAATTCAGAGCCAGCCGCCATGCCTGAGTGCAGGACAGGCCTGGCCATTACTTCCACAGGGGCTGCCAGAGTATCATTGCTAGTCTGGATTGAACAATTGAAAATCCTCCCACTAAATATTAAAATGCAAGGACATCCTGTGCTGGCTTTTATTTTATCTTAGAAATATTTCAGTCCTCAAAGTCCATGCAGTCAAAAGCGGACGTTTCCTGCCACGGTCGGCCATGTGTCTGCTTTCTACTGCTCCTGTGGGGTACGGGTCAGCACCATGCAAACTTAGCCATATGTTATCAGTTTATTCTTGCCACGCATATCGTAGAATGTAAGATATCAATATCCTGTGATCTGTGATTGAAGAGCGATTTAGGCGGAACTGTAAACCATGCTCTACACCCGGAGTAAGTAACTCCAGGGTGGACCAACACAGTTGGAAAGTGTTCTTGACTGTGTTCTTGTCAAAGCTGAGTGCTTATGCAGGGTACATGTGCAGTACTCCTACATACATCACCCTGTAGGGGTTGTAGCACACAGAAAGCAGAGTGTGGTGCAGGACTGTCCATTCCAGTAACAGCTTCCCTTGCATCAAAGTGTAGGTGGGATGGGCAGTTTGCATTCAGTTAACAGGTCTATGTAAATTACCCACTAAAGAAAAACAGGCCCACTGTTAAGTGAGCACGGTTCTGTCCATGTCCCAGGAGCAGGAGGCAAGGTTAGCTCTGTGCAGACCACAGAGGGAGGGGCAAGGGGCACGTGGACAGCTCTGCAGAGAGAGGCAAAGGGCTCTCAGGATGACTGAAGGGCATGGGCCACGTGCCTGGGGCCTCCAGCCCAGGCCTGGGACACCACCTAGTTCCTGGGGCACAGGTGTGGCAACAGAGCCAGGCCTTGTCTCTGACCAGAGGACTGGGGAGAGGAGGTGCTGAGCTGCACTGGGAAGGACGCTGGAGACAGCATGCCGTGACTGACGCGTGCATCCAGGGGTGCACTAGGGGACAGGGACGTCCAGAGGATCCCGTGGGCATGGGGAAGTGACGAGCAGGATGTAGGGGAGAGAGGCCTACCAAGGAAGAAGCAGGAGGACTGAATTTGAGGCAGGAGAGGGGACAGGTGCACCTGGGACCCAGGTGGTAGGGGTGAAGAAGCCTTTGGGGAGGGGGCTCCGTTGTGCCGGACGCCTTGACTGTGAGCTCCTGAGGCGCATCCCGCTCTCAGCCCTTGCTCTGGGGTGAGCGGGTGCCCACGCCCTCCCACCCATGCCCCCCGTGCACTCACTCGGCAGATACACAGCCTGCAGCCTCTCCACGCAGAGCTTCCAGCAAGACTTTGGGGAAAGGCTGAGGAAGCTCACCTGCCCTGAGCTCCGTGGAAGGAGCCTGAGAGGGGCCTGCAGCGAGCTTACGGTGGAGCACAGAGAGAAGGTGGAGTCTGCTGGCAGTTGCCAGGGCCGGGGCGGTGGGAGCTTCTGAGGGATCTGAGGCGCAGGGGGTCAGGCAGGCAGCTCAGTGAACAGTGGAGGGAGGGGCGCTGAGGAGTGTGGCTTGGCCTCAGTGGAGGTCAGCAGGTGCACGGCCACAGTCCCCAGCCCACAGCAGCAGACCTGGCCAGGCTGACCTTACACAGCCCCCAGCCCCCTGCCCACAGCCCCCCGCCCACAGTCCCCTGCCCACAGCAACAGCCCTGGCTGGGCTGACCTTACACAGCCCCCAGCCCCCAGCCCCCAGCCCCCTGCCCCCAGCAACAGCCCTGGCCAGGCTGACCTTAAACAGCCTCCTGCCCACAGTCCCCTTCCCACAGCAACAGCCCTGACTGGGCTGACCTTACACAGCCCCCTGCCCACAGTCCCCTGCCCACAGCAGCAGCCCTGACCAGCTGACCTTACACAGCCCACAGCCCACAGCCCCCTGCCCACAGCAGCAGCCCTGGCCGGCCAGGCTGACCGTACACAGCAGGGTGTGGGAGGTTCCTCCTGGGCCAGAGTCCTCACAGAAAAGGGAAGAGAGAAGTCAGGGCAGCGAGGGCAGGCCCGCCTCATCTTCCTCACTTCTTTCCTTTCTCCTGTGAAAGGAGACAGGGGAGACTCACCTCCGCCAGACCCAGGAAACGCGGGGCTAGGAGCCCACAGGAACCCCTGGGGCTTGGTCCACCTCCCACCCAGGTCTGGCCAACTCTGGCGTGAGACGCCTCTGGGCCATCGCTGCCTGGGAGGTGCTGACCTCAGCCTCACCAGAGGGCACCAGGCCACCCGCATGAACTTGGGAGTAGCTGAGGGGCGGGCCTTGCTGTGGGAGTGGCTCCTGCATGAGGAGGGCCACAGCAGGAGCCCAGGCAGGAGCCCAGGAGCTGGCAGCTGCCCAGGTGGTGGCACCCCACCCCCTGTCAGGTTCCCAGCTCTGCAGAGAATCCATTTATTCTGGGTGTTCTGTGTTTGTTCCTGTGCCAGCTGCACATTTTCCTTGGAAACATTTGCAAAGCTTCTGTATCCAAAAATGTGAAAAATTAAATAAGCCTATTCAGCTCCTGTTACCCCTCTATAGATACAAGCAGAGTCCGCATTTCAAATGGACTGGGACAGATTACGGGGCACTGCTCCCTCCCAGGACAAATCTGAGATGGCAAAGCCAGGAGCTGATGGGGCCCCCAGATGGAGTGGGCGGCACCGTTTCCCTCTCCTGTGCACGGGCTGCCCCTCCCCCGCTGCTCTGCATCTCCGCCTCTCCCTGTCTGCACCCCTGTCTCCCTCTCTCTGTGGACACCGTACTCCCTGCATCTTTTTAGGACACTCCATTCCCACCACCTGCCCCTTTCTCCCCTTGTGCAGCTTCCCGGCTGCCCCAGGCTCTCAGACGCCCAGCTGGGGACTGAGGGTATGCGAAGTCTCCCCATCCAGAATGAGCCTCCGGCCTATCCTGTGTCTCCTGCCAAGGCATTGGGCTTGGGAGGGTGGCCGGAAAGCCTGGGCACTGGTCAGGAAGGCTGTGGAAGCCTTTCTGAACTGCGCTTCTCCTTCAGCCTTTCAGGGTGTCCCAGGGCCAAGAAGAGCGGCATCCGAGTAGCACAGAGCAAGGAGGACAAGGAAGACCAGGAGCCCATCAGGTAGGAGGCCTGCAGGGGTGCAGCCCCAGGGCTGTGTGGGCACTGGCCGAGGTCTCAGGAAGCCACGGCACAGCCAGGACTCACCTGCTCAGCAGCCCACGGCCCAGGTCACACCAGTATCTAGTGCTGCCCTAAGGGACTGAGGTTCCCAGGCTGCCCTCTCCCCTGGGGAGTAGCAGCAGGGAGCCCTGGGAAGGCAGATCTGGTGGCCAGGCCGGTGAAGGTTTTCACCGTGACGCCAGAAGTCGCCTTTATCAGCATCTGGGCCTCTAAAAGGAACTCGTGGATGCAGCCCAGTTCTGAGGCTCGAGAGGTGGCAGAGGCTGAGCCTCCTCCGATGCTGGTCACAAGCCCTGCTGCTCCGCGGGGCCCTGCCCGCACCCCTGAGCAGTCCACGGGACAGGCCTGGGGCCATCCCCTGAGACTCCAGCCTCACCCTGTGTCTTTGGAGAAAGAATTTATTTAAAACGAATTAAAACACAAAACAAGGTAAATTAAACATGATCAGAATAAGTGGGTGATTCGAGTCTGCAGGTTGTGTGTGTGCCGGCTGTGGACTCCGTGCCCGCTGTCCCGGGTCACCTCTGGGCCCCAAGTGTGAACTCCCAGAAGGGGCTTCCGCGGCTTCTGGAGAACATAGCCAAACAGAAACGCTTCCCAGCTCTCCCCAGGACAGAGACCCACGAAGAAGCCTCTTAAAAATCTCCTCAGGGACATCTGGCCTGGTGGCTAAGCCACCTGTGCCCCACAGACGGGTGCCTGGCTCCATGCCAGGCTCTGGCTCCTGACTCCCAACTCCCACTTTCTGCTTATCCAGACCCTGGGAGGCAGCCGTGGTGGCCACTGTGAGACCTGGCTTCAGTGCCTGGCTCCCAGCTTTGGCCCAGGCTGGGCCCTGGCCACTGTGGTCATTTGGGGAGTGAACAGCACATGGGAGCTCACTCTTTGTCCTTCTCTTTGTCTCTCTCAATCTCTTTCTGCCTCACAAATCAATAGATGAGTAAGTTAAAATTTTAATTAAAATTTTTACATGAAAATAATCCCACAACATCCCACTGACTACATTTTTCCACCAGAAAAGTTATGATTCTGGCCAAAATCTTTGTGTCTGAGATGGAGGCCGGCACCCTCCCCCCGCCGCAGCGCCCTCTGCCGGGAGCGCTCCCGGCTGCTCACGCGACAGCACAGGTTCACAGCTCCGCAGGGGCGCAACAGCCAGCGCCGCCACTAGGTGGCGACCTGTAGTGATTTTGTTTTTAATTTTCCTTGTTTTTTTTGCTTCCATTTTTATTTTTTTCCCACTTTTTCTGTTCTTTTTTATTTTTATTTCTCTTTCTCTTCCTTTTTCCTTTTCCCTTTCTCCCTGTTTTCATTTCTTCTCTTCCTTTTTCTTCTCCTTCCCTTTCCGGTCGCTCAGCCCCTGGAGCAGGAGTGTTCTTTTCTCTTCCACTAGGGGTTTGTGGCCGTGGGTGCAGAGGCGTGGGCTGTGGCGGCAGGGTGCTGATGCTGTCCCCTCTATGTGCTGCCCAGGTGTCCTGTCCCCGGCTGCGACGGGCAGGGCCACATCACGGGGAAGTATGCCTCCCACCGCAGCGCCTCGGGGTGCCCGCTGGCGGCCAAGAGGCAGAAGGACGGGTACCTCAACGGCTCCCAGTTCTCCTGGAAGTCGGTCAAGACGGAAGGCATGTCCTGCCCCACACCTGGCTGCGATGGCTCGGGCCACGTCAGCGGCAGCTTCCTCACACACCGCAGGTGAGTGGGCGGCTCCACCCCCAACCTCCCCTCGTGCAGAAGGCAAGGCTGGAAACCGTGATGCCGGACTGTGAAACCCTGAGCTTGGGCACGGCCGTCGTCACGAGGCACGGGCACTGTCCACCTCACGTGCGTTGGGCGAGCGGTTTCAGGCTCTGTGGTAGAAATGTGGGAATGTGCAGGTCCAGTTGCCTGTTTTCTAGTTTGTGCCCACACGTGAATATCTGCTGATCTGGGTCTGTGCTGGCTGAAATCCGCAGGCCGCCTCTCCACCCCCACCCCCAGAGAGAGGACGGCACTGGTCCCGGGGCTCTCTGTTTGGTACAGGCACTGCAGGTGCGTGGGGAAGCTCTCGGAAGACCCAGTCAGTCCCACCGGTTTGTATTTGTTCAGTTCAGGAAAGAAATGCGTGCAGGTGGACGTCTCTGAAGGAGAGTCCAGGGTGCTGGCTGAGCAGAGGAGGGCCTGAGTGGGGACAGAGCTCAGAGGCCCAGGGCATCCAGAGGCTCCGAGCCCAGCCCCATGGAGCCTCAGGCTCCACTGCTCCATGCAGATGCCCTCCCCCACACCCCAAGAGGCCACAGTGGCCCCTCTGCAATCCTGCCCTGCTGCTGCTTCCTGCAGACCACCCGTGGGCATCTCGAATCTACAGTGCCTCCTCAGAGCAGACACTGACACGCAGGTCACAGGAGCCGGGGGCTGAGCCTTAGAAAGTTACCTCTCTCAAACAGTGAGCTCTAAGTGGTACTTAGTTTTATTTGAAAGGCAGAGAGACAGAGCCAGACACAGAGGTTTTCCATCTACTGGTTCACTCCCCAGACACTCACAATAGCCAGGGCTGGGCCAGGCCAAAGCCGAGAGTGTGGACCTCCATCTGGGTCTCCAAGATGGGTGGGAGCCCGAGGACTTGAGCCATCACCTGCACATTAGCAGGAAGCTGGGGTTGGGAGTGGTACCTGGGCTGTAACCCCGATGCTCTGAGATGAGATGTGGGTATCACAGGCCATGCCTGGACCACTGTGCTGATCGCCTGCCCCAGGAACCTTAAACATCTTTAAGGAGGATTTTTAATGATTAAGCAAATTCCTGCTCTGGTCCTTTCTGGGACTGAATCTCAACCCTTCTCAAGGTCCCTGTGTGCTTTCAAAAATTGCCCTTGGCAGTGCACACCCGGCAAGGCACGCACAGAGCGTGGGAGCTCCACTGTTGGTTCCGGATCCCCACGGTGTCCGTCCCCCACACCTGCACAGGAGCTGGGCGAGGGCCTCGCCTGCCCACAGATTGCCCAGGCATTTGGGGAACAAGCCAGCAGCAGAGGACTGCCCTTCACCCACCCCTCTGCCTCTGTACTGCTCTGCCTTTCCAGTACATAAATAAAACTGCAGAAGTCAGAGTGGTGAGCGTGACCTCACCGTGACCTCCCCAGCTCAGCCCACACAGGTTCCCATGGAGACCACAGGTGCAGGCCTGCTCTAGTGGCATGAGTGCCAGAGCAAGGGGCAGCAGGCAAGGGCAGGGAGTGCACTCGGAAATCCAGGGAGGCTTCACTGGGAACTGAGACCCTCAAGTGCCCCCCAGGGAGGCTCCTCCCCTGGGGCCTCTCCCCATGAGTGCACTCGTTTCCCTGGGCCGACACGGATGGGGACACTGTCAGCAGCAGCTCCCGTCTCTGTGAAGCCTGGCTTGCAACCACAGGCCACACGCTGTTCTGTGGAGGCAAGGAGGGGACAGGCCTGCAGGAGCCTGGGATGGTTAGCAAGGCCCCAGCGGTGTGGCAGAGAGGAGAGAGCTGCAGTGCACCCCATGCAGGGCTCTGCACCCAGGCGCTGGGAGGGCCCGACACCTGGCAGCCGTGTGCAGCAGCCTTGGAGGAGATGTGGGCAGGGGGCCCCCAGGCCAGGGCAGAGGCGATGAGGGCTGCGGCTGACACTCAGCCAGCTCGGGCGCCACCGCAGATGCCGCAGATGGCAGGAGCTTCCTTTCTTAGTCCAGAGTCCAGGGCACCGTGCTGCATCCCTGGCTCACGGAGGGTGGCTTCTGCCTGTCCCCACATGCTGGTCAGGGTGCCAGCAGCTGCGCCCATTCTCACAGGGACCTGTGCAGCCTGTTTTACCCTCGAGGCCCCTTCGCCAAATGTGGCTGCGTGGGTTTGGTGCTTGGAGGTATCAGCTATGGGGACGCAGATCTTTGCAGTGGGAGAGGGGCTGGGTGGTCCCACTTTAAATATGTTCACCCGAGGCCCTGTGGAGCTTGGGGTAAAAATGTCCTTCGGGCAGTTGGAAGTGGGTCTGGGGGCAGGGTGGGCCCAGGACAGGGAATCTGGCCAGGCACGTGCCCCCAGCAGGCAGGCAGGACAGAGGCAGAGGAGCGAGGGGTCCGCAGGCCAGGAGGAAGGCAGCCCCCAGCTGGAGGACGCTGTCCCTGGAAGCTCAGCAGAGGGGTGAGGGGCAAGGTTGGGTGCCCAAACCAGACCAAGGCAGGTCAGAGGTTAGAAGGCCTCAGAGATCTGGAAGAGGGAGCGTGTGCAGGGACAGCCTGGGTCTGCGCCGTGCCTGAGGAGGACAAACTGGAGCAGGGAGGAAGGGTCTGGCTGGGCAGTGTTTGAAGGGGCCAGGTCTTGTGGGGAAAAAAAGCTAAAGACAGGGGCAGATGCTGAGCACACGGAGAGCGATGGTTTCCTGGAAAGGTCAACATCAGAGTCCCCCAGAGAGGCGCATCGTGGAGGCTAAGGGTGAGGGACCCTGTGGCAGGGCCTGGGGAGCAACGGGAAAGCCACGATTCAAAGTGAACAGGGCAGCTGAGGCCATGGACCAAAGGGAGGGGGATCCTGTGGGGGCAGGTCCTGGGGGGGACCCATGGGAGCTTGGTATTTCCCAAGGGAATTGTAGCAGAAATAACTGACAATATGGAGTGGTTACTCTGAGTTTTGGATCCATCCTCTCATTTAATGCAAGAATCAGCCAGCAGAGGCCACTCCACAACCAGGAGGCCCAAGGCTGGCTCCAGCACAGTGGAGTCATTTGGTTCTCCTAGCACCGATGTCCAGGGAACAGGAGAGAGGGGCCCGGGCATCATCCACACAGTCTGAGGGTGGGATCGAGGGTTGAGGGTCAAGTCTGGAGGCAGCATCACCTGTGCTCAAGGCCAGGGAACCGGCTCTGCCTGTGAGCATGGGAGAGGGAGCCCCACGCCTTCCTGCCTCTCTGTGATCTGAGCAGCCATACGTTTTACAAAAACGAATGCAAACCTCAACCCAGACTCCTGAGGCTGGTGGAGCCCCTGACTCAGAGAGCAGGCAGGAAGGAGGAAATGGGATGCAACCCTAGGGTACCTCCCTCGTCTGCCACGTGCGGGCTGGATCTGCAGCAGCCAGCAGCCAGGAAACAGCTGTGGAGCCAGCGCAGCTCCAGCTCCCTGGCTGCCTGGCCGAGGTCCCACAGGGCAGGACACAGCTAGCCTGTGAGGTAGAGGGGCCAGGCTGTCCCTGCCCCACATCCCCTCTGGGTGAACACTCACTGCATCCTCCTGGCTCCTTCTGTCGTGGGGGAGGCCGCTGGCCAGGTCCCGGTCTTGTCTGCAGAAGGAATCCAGGGAGACCCCTGGAGGACAGTGAGCAGGGGCACAGGGCTCACTGAAGGAGAAAGCACACTCCAGCGATGCGCACGCACAGCCTCTGGGACTGGAGGCCCTGCAGGTGGTGTCCAGGCAAGACTTACAGGAATACTCCGAAGCGGAGGTTGGGGCAGGGCCTGAGAACTGCCCCTTTCCATGACCACCTTTGGACACCTCAGAAGTGTCATGGCGTCCGGTGGAAGTGGGAGTGTCAGCATGATGACCCGAAGGTCATGGCTGGGATGCACATGGAAGCCACATTTCCAGCCAGGCTGGTTCTTAGGCAGCTGAAGGCCACAGAGAAGGGGTGGGGTCCACGTGGCGCACCTGCGGGCCATCCTCAGCGCCTCGGCTTCCACCCTGCCTGTCACATCCTCTCCTGCCTCTGCTGAGGCCCGGCTACTCTGTCCCCAGGCACCTGTCCAGACAAAGAACTCTCAGAGCAGCCCAGGTTTACAGCATCAGAGGTGAGAGTCCCCCGTCCCGCAATGCAGGGCTCTGCCACACACAGCACAGGCCTGTGCCCAGGGCCTCTCCCCCTCCCCCATGTTCTGCCTCTGGCCAGGACTCCACCAGACCCAGTGCCGTGTTTTCTCACTGGAGCATGTTGCGACACACATGGGTTTCACGACATCCTGCAGTCTGCAGGAGAGCTCAGAGCAGGTGGTCCTGTCAGAGCCACTGCCCTGGGGCGGGCCATTCCCTCTGCTACAACAGAAATCCCCTCACGGGCGATTTACTAAGGAACGGAGCTCATTGGCCTGCGTCCTGGAGACCTCAGGGCCAACATCCAGAGGCCACGTCAGGCGAGGGCCTCCCTGCAACACAGTGTGGTGGGAGGGCCGAGCCTCTCTTCCCAGCCGCCTGTGCTCAGGCATCCAGTGGTCGCTCGAGAGCCCACTCCCGGGAAAGGTGTTCATGCCTGCCAGCAGCCCGCTACTCAACGCTTCAGTGCCCCACCTCCCAACGTGGCGGTCAGAGCCAGCCTGAGCTTCCGGGAGACAAACGGTCCTATTGAAGCCATAGCCAGGCCTGCACCTACGTCACTTCCCGAGAAGAGCGGACACTCCGCCACCCCAACGGTGACCTGCAGAGCTGAGGTGCAGTGCCCTCGGGCCCCGTTTCTCAGAGCTGGCTCCCATGGAGAATGGCCAGGGGACTCTGGGGGGGCTTGAACTTAACAGCCGTGGGCCAGACGTGCTTCTGAGGGGAGTCCCGTGTCAGGCACCCTCAGCCAGGTCTTCCATGTCCACCACTCTTGGACCAGACGCCCAACGCCACCTCTGCCATGCGCTCTGGGAGCACCTCCGACCTTCTTTATTTTCATCTCCATATTTAATGCTCAACAGAACTGGGAAGGAAAACTGAAATCCAGCATCTGCCTCTAC